TTGACACTGTAATGAATGAACTAAATAACCGTTGCAAGCAATAGTCTACATACAAACAAAACCTTAAGCTTAAGCGTCACCTGTATAACTTGGCAGCAGTTTTGTATTTCAGCTCCCTGAATTTTGTACAGTTTCTCTAGAGGGGCATGTGCCTGGGAGTTTTAATAGCATTTATATCTGACGTATATCAATGTATACTCGTATATATATATATATATATATATATATATATATATATATATATATATATATATATATAATTGTTTATATATCTATCTATCTATCTCTCCCTCTCTCTCTCTCTCTCTCTCTCTCTCTCTCTAGATATATATATATATATATATATATATATATATATATATATATATATATATATATATATATAAATAATTATTTATTTATTTATTTATTTATACACAGCTTACAAAATACGAATACTTGCCATATTTATTATTATTATTATTATTATTATTATTATTATTATTATTATTATTATTATTGTTATTATTATTATTATTATTATTATTATTATTATTATTATTATTATTATTATTATTATTATTGCTATTATTACTATTATTATTATTGCTTTTTCTACAATGTATAAACATGATCATATCGTAAAGCGCTAATCATTTTTACCGATTCATGAAGCCTGGTTAAACTGATTGACAAGACAGCAACGATGATGAGATTAAACACTAGCCACGCTGTGTTCATAAGAATCGTCAGCCACGGTGCCTTGTAAAAGATCAGGCAGTACAGAGCGAAGCAGGTTTCTGCGATGGCCACGGCGTACATTAAGGCCAGGTACATGTCGAGGAACTTGTTGTAGCTCTCCCAGGCGTCGCAGAGCTTCAGATGACACAGGCGGATCTCTTTTAAGGTCTCTGGGATCTTCCCATTGGAACGGACTATCTAGTACAAATAAAAGAATGTCTGTTAACCAGATAGCAAGGCTCAAGATTATCACATAGTGATACTCTCTTTAGAGCACCGGAATTTAAACTATATATATATATATATATATATATATATATATATATATATATATATATATATATATATATATATATATATATATATATATATATATATATACATATATATATATATAATTCTCTTCTTGGAGACGTTAGAAAACAAGCTGTAAGCGCGCCTTGCAGTCCCCTCTCTTCCACTCTAGGCATAGACATGGTCTGGTGAGCTGTGGTTCACGCTAAATGTTTACAATCGTAGAGCCGGGTTAGTGACAGCTATTAGGCGCAGATAATTTAGTTTGAAATAATTTTAAACTTAATGGAGGTAACTAAGAGGAGACTGCTTTCAGGGGGGGTGGGTAGGGGTTGGGGGGGGTTATCGTTTTTAACGAGCTACTGTTTTAAAGCAAATATTTTCAGTGGCAGCATTGGTACTGTCGAATTCACAAATTATGAATTACTGAAAAGTAGAAAATAAAACAACTAAATAGCGGCGTAGATAAGCCGCGGGTCGGCTCGTATATATATATATATATATGTAATACATCATATATACCATCCAGCATCTGTCGCATTCCGGAAATCGTCCATTTGGGAATCCGTCGTAGACACACACACACACACTCACATACACACATATAAACCGCTAGGTAGTGTGCCCGGCCTTCCTTGCTTCCCTTATCGGAGTAGCAATATTGTCTTCGTTTTTAAAGCTGAAAGAATGTGGACTTTTTTTTCAAAGAAATCTCAGAATTTAATTTGTTTCCATTTACTCACTTAAATCGCTCAAATACTATTTGATAATACAACATTCAGAAAAAAATATATATAGGAAACATAATTGTATTACAAGTGTTACCTGTATCTGTAAAATTTCCGTGAGTCGGTGAAAAACCGTGAATATAATACGATTGATGACATAAACAAAGGCCGTAACGAGAGTTTGAACAGTTACATTTGAGACGTGGAGGAGAACAGCCAAACATTTCATCCAAACTTTGTCAGGGAACGGCATCACCAGTGATGGCTGGAAGTATTAAGTTAAGCGTCTAAATAATCAGAATAACAACACTATTTAGATATTTTTGTGGTTTCTGTTTTGAAGAATTTTAAAATAAAAAAAAACAACATATACTGTACCTACCTATTTCAAACGCATATATATAGCCTATATATATATATATATATATATATAGCCAATATATATATATATATATATATATATATATATATATATATATATATATATATATATATATATATATATATATATATATATATATATATACATATATATATATATATATATATATATATATATATATATATTTACATATATTTATATATATATATATATATATATATATATATATATATATATATATATATATATATATATATAAAATACACACACATATATCTTTATATATATATATATATATATATATATATATATATATAGCTGCGTGTATCTATTCCCGTAAATAATGTTTATATAAAGTATAAAGACATGATGAGAATATTCGGTGTAGGTGTAAAATATAGGTAAAAATAACTTTCATGTTCTCTATAATCGAAGGTAAAACGTATGAAACGATATAAAAAGAGGAAGTCCAAAATACGTTCGGAATTGAGGAGAGCTAATGATCAGACACTTTATTTAGTTTTTAACTGCGCATGTATTCCTGTGTCCAAATGTTAATTTATTTTTTAGTTGCGTCTTAGCATTATTGTAACTCAGCCTTTTAATTTTAAAGTGAACACTTTTAATTTTAAATATATATTATCTAAAAATGTTATGTCAAAATATCATGTATCATTATCTCTTATTTCCATCATATTTCTGTTTAACTAGCAGATATCCGACTAAAAAGGACGACATATGCTCAAATCTGTAAATGAGACAGTTTGATGTGTAATATGTAAATAGATTTATCTATATTTTTTGTCTAAAAAAATAATGATTTTACCGTAATAACTTGTTCATCTACCCAAAGAGCAAAGATGATACCCCCAGCATTTGAAAGCATGGCTGAGACAGTTATTGCAATGATAAAAGTTATCATTTTCTTGTTTCTTGGCGCCTGTAATTCCAGGTCATGTGACATGGCATAGGTAAACAAATCATTCCATTGGTCGAAAAACGCTCTGTGTGTTGAGAACAAAACTCAGTATCAGACATTGGTGATATTTTTCAAGTGATCATTGTGGGGAGGGGGGGGGGGGGTAATTTGCACTCCATCGGAAAAGGTTTATTTTTAAGTATATTGACAAAACTCCAAAAAGAAAATCTGAGGCCCTATAAATGAATATTGGTTCCGCTTCTTTTAATTTCCTGGTGGGTGACTTTAATATAACTAAAGGAGGTGACCAATCTTTGCCAACAAGTATTTAATTTTTATGATATTTTGGCCTATGTGGTATTTTTTTTCCCCCAACGAACTAAAAGTTCGCTCTTCCGCAAGGCCACACCTTCGCTAAAGTGTCCATAACACTGAAATATATGTATGTACTATTTAACATTGTGACGGGCCATACAGATACGTTTTTTTACTCCTTACCTGAAGTGTGTTGGATTTCCACACGAATACAACACACACATCATGCAAGCCACGTTTTGAAAGCACCAGATCAAGAACGGGATTTTCATGGCCATTGAGTCGTTTGAGTACACAACCAACACATAAGCCAGACGAGCAATGTTGCAGCAAAAAAACACAATCACCAACACGGAATACACTTGGTACAGTCTCACTTTCCAGGTTTTATTTCCTTTATATTCTTCACATTTCTGACTTGCATTTGATGATACACTTTCTGTAGACGTGTCGTCAAATCTATCCACACTATCCGGCGTGTTCTCATCAACAAGATTCCACATCCCAAATAGTTTTATAAAGACAAGCAATGGAGCAAGCGTAGTCCTTAGATCTGCAGTACCCGTAGGCTGTACACTGTCAGGTTTGATAGCATTACCTCGACACATCATCGTTGCCATTTCTTAAATAACTCGTGAACCACGTCTCACCTAATAAAGTTTACAACGTTACAAACCATCCAACTATAATGTATTTTAACATTATGTGTGTAATACGATCAGAATTTTCAAAAAAAAAACTGCACACACATACATCTGCGTTAACCTAAAATAATTCTGGAATTAAAACAACAGTTTTGTAAAAATCGAATCGTTGTTATTCTGTCATGAACCTTTTAGTCATGTTAAATGTCATTACGTTTAATTGATTTCAAACTGTTCTTGCTTGGTATTTACTTATCAAACATCCTAAATGAGATTTTACGACTAAAATCATGCTGTAGTCAATTGGACGAATGATGCATCTCTAGCTCTGCAACAATGGACTTAATCCCCGTAGAGAACACGCCATGTTTGTACATTAGGTCACTAATGGTTTAGTTACTCTATTTTTAGTGCTGCTGTGGTAGATCAAGTGTTTAAACTGTGCCTGAAGCTAAACGATAAAGGTTAACACGCAAAACTTTGAATTTATGAGTTTTGTCTTGAAATGATGCCTGGAGTTTTTATGCATACGAGGTTTTAATGTATTAACACTTTTTAATTGTCTTTTTTTACGTTTATAATATTTTTTGTTCTTCAGATTTTTAAAACGTTTCTTATTGCAAAATCTATACCTGCCAACGTGATACATTTTTAGTTACGTTCACATAAGAAGTCCAAGTAGGCCTATCTGTTATACTTAATTGCTAAATCAGTTTTCAGCTGGTTCAACAACTCGAAACTTAACTTAGACAAGAGAGCTTGTTAAAGATTATGACTGACCAATACAAAAGTATTAATGTCATTTTGTAGAAAGAAAGAAGAGAAAACCATACATACATGTAAAAATTCAGTTTACAAATTAAAGGCTAAATACAAAACAAATTTATCAAAACACCACTTGAATAATATGTGTGGATTGTGTTCTGTTTATTCAGCAGATACATTAGTTAAACAAATAGAAAATAAAATAAAGATGTAAATTAAAAAAAATCGTATTATATGTCCATCAATAACCACATGATTTATCCATCTGCTAAGGCCTGAACTGGAGAAGCAACATAAAATATGTGATGTAGGCTCCAGCAATCTGGTGAGTAAAAATGTACAACTGTTTAGGAGGGTGTTTCTACTTCAGAGGCGTAGCGATGAGGGGGGGGGGGGGGGTAGGGGGGTACATATTTCCCCGGGCGCCGACCTTAGGGGGCGCTAAAATGGGTAGTAAAAACAAATTAAAATATCATTTTAGCTGCATTTTTGCATTATAAACAGTTTGAGGGTGGGGGTGGGGGGGGGGGGGTTGCAAATCGAAAGTTTGCTCCCGAGGGGGGCGCCAGATTGAAAGTTTGTCCCCGGGCGCCTGGAAGGGTCGCTACACCTCTGTTCTACTTGATGTGTATAAACAAAACCTAAAACAATCATGAAGTAATGTTTTGAGATAGTTGTCCGAATTCCATAAGATAAAATTAAAATTTAGTAATAAAAATGTAGAATTTTTTTTCTCACTTTAAGATGATATAACTACCGTCATTTTTAATTTTAGCAATTAGGAGACCTACCACCAAAATTTGGTAGTTGAGATACCAACCGTCTTCAAAACTAGGCAGTCGATTAACGTTTGGCCCACTGTACTCAAACATCGGCAGTCAATCGACATTTGACCTACCGTCATAAAAATTCAGCAGTCAATCGACCTTTGACCTACTTTCATAAAAATTTGGCAGTCAATCGACCTTTGACCTACCGTCAACAAAGCCTGTTTGGTCACCACAAACATCCCCAGCACTGAGGCCCCTATGGTCGTGTCAGTGAGACGAGACACAAACAGCTGGAGCTGGGGATGGGATGGTGTTTTAGGTGGCGGCTTGGGCGTGTGTTATAAACAAAAACAATTATAAACATATTTGAATTGCTAATTTGTATAGGAGTCTAGTAAATACACCCAGCTAATTAGAGTAAGAATTATATTTCATATGCATATTGCTTCACGTATTAACCACTTACTAACACAATATTTAGACAACATAAAATATTATTTATATATTTATAGCCAATAAACATTAGACTTTAGTTAACATGCATATATAATCAATGTAATAATGGAAGTGTTCATATGTCTAGCTAGCAAACTTCAACTAGTTGTTGCTAAAATTGAGATGACTTTAACTTTATACCTGTATAACTTGAGATGGCCACGAGTTTTCTGTCTCTCTGAGATCATACAGTTTGTCTAGTGGAGAGTGGGCCTACAACATATTTGATTCATTTAAAACAATAAACAGAAAATTCAGTATAACGCTACTACTTTAATACTCTATGCACACATTCCCAATGTTAAAATAAAAAATTACAGACAGGAAATACGTTTTACTATCCAATCCGTCCACTACAGTTAACATTACAAAATACAGATAGAAATGTGTCCAAAATGTTTTCAATTTTTCTCTTCTACTTCTTAAACGTATTTGTAAATAAAACCGATACCATTTATTAAAAAAATTAAACATTTAGTTATAAAAGGTAATTACCATTTCATGCACAGATGATAGACTCAATGACAAGACACCACAAATGGCTAGAGACACTAACAGCCATAACACATTCAAGAGAGTGACTAACGACCAGTTGGGGTGCACTATCACATTGTAAAGGGTCAGACAACTATTGGCTATGGTCACAAGATAGACTAAAGGGAGGTAATAATTGAGGAACTTGTTGTAGTTATAGAAGACACCGCACAGCTTGGAGTGGTATATGCGAATCGTTTTTAAATTATTCGGAATTACTCCATTAGCTTTGGTTACCTGTGGAAACAAATAATATATTTCTTTTGAAAAAGAAAAACAATATAGGCCGTTAAGTCTATATAAATAAATCTAAAATATAATCTCAAGTGTGGATGAACGAACCATTTTAAAAAACTTAGAATGATTAACTACTGCATATTTACTTCTGCCTCTAAGACGTCGGTGAGCTGTTTGAACTGTGTACAGAACAACTTGTTGACAAACACGACGAAGACTAGTAGAAAATTATTGGTCGCCGAATTCCATCCATTGACCAGTACGGCGATGAAAATGGTCCAAGTTGTGCAACTAAATGGAGCAATCGTTGTTTGCTGAAATACATCAAACTCTATACTCTTTTATTTCGTATCTTATACAATATATATATATATATATATATATATATATATATATATATATATATATATATATATATATATACTAGCATGCACAAGCGTGTCTGTCTCCGCGCGTTGCCGCGGTCTCAGAGGAAAGTCTGACGAAATATTTTAAGAGTTTCTTCATTGCGTTATCAATCCTACATTCTTAGATGTGTGACCTTGTTTTCTAAAACTGAGTTATTTTAATGTAATCGGTGCCTACGATATATTTCTTTGATCACATTTGCCGGGGCATGGGTTTACCCACAATAACGTCCAGCACACCCTCTGGCGCGCTAAAATTCACCCTGTAAGGTGAAGCCAGCAGATGCGTTTAATGCAGTTTGGTGAACGACTTTATTATCACTTCTTTTCCATTGATTATTGCACTCATTAAAACGAACGTAGGCGCTATTGCTTTCACGAGAAAACCCTGGACGCCAAATACCACCCAGCCAGGGCGCCGAAAGAAGCGCCTGATTTGATTTAGTGAACAACTAGAGTAACCCGTCGTATTCATAGCTTATCGCACTCTTTAAAACGAACATATGCGCCATAGCGCTCACAGGAAAGCCCGAGACGCCAAATCGCATCATGCCTGAGCGCCCGTTGACTCGATATAGTAAACGATTATTATTGCACATTGTGTCCTTATTGTATAGACTTTAAAAAAAACGAACGTAGGCGCAAAACTGCTCACGGGTGAGCCCAGGTTGCCTCCTGTCACTCAATCGCCGGGGCGCCGGCTAATGCGCTTGGTGTAGTTTTACCAATCAACGGATGCTAAGTTCTAAGATAGCCGTTCTGGAAATAAATGCGCCAAACTGTATATTGAGAAAATTCAAACCCACCTGGGGTTGCGTCCCTAAGAAATTATTTTTTTTTGTTTACGCAGAAACCTTCCCTGGAATATTCTCATCAACTCCCCAATGTTTTATGACATTTGGATGATCGGTGTCATACCGCATCCGACTTTTTTAAAATGTACACAGCGAATATTCGTATCGCACCCTGCCGGGTCGCCGTCACTGTAAAATTTATTAATTTTTTTATGATTATAAAATCTCCTTTTTGGAGAATTCTAATAATTTCCCCAAAGTTTGATAGCAATCGATTGTAAGGTGTAGTAATGCATAAAGGGTAAATCCACATACAAAAAACTTATATTTATACACACACACACACACATATATATATATATATATATATATATATATATATATATATAAATATATATATATATATACATATATATATATATACATTAAGTACATTGGCACTTACCACCATAGTGGGTTCTTGTAGAGATAGAACGGCAGTGAAAGAACCAAAATTGAAGAGCACATTGAAACAGCCAACAAACATTATCCTGTTCCTCCATCGGCGACACGTGATAGGCTTTAAACCCAGCTCCTCTGTCGCTTTCTCTTGAGATAACTGCCGCCATTTTGTGTAGAACAACCTGTCAGTGAGTCAGTGCATGAACATTGTTACGTGAACAAATCATGCTCATTGTTATGATGGAAACATTCGACATCGTTACAAGATCATAATCTTTGTTACATGGATAAATCAAATCATGTTCTTAGTAAAATTGAAAAATCATGGGCATTTTACAAGAACACCTGTTCTTATTTATAAAACATGGACTTTTTAACATGAACTCAATCATAGTCATGGTTACAAAGACTTATCGTAGATATTATTACAACAACAGTTGAGGAGTAGAAGTGAGGTTGGAAATAAATATGGAGTTGATTATTTATAGCAAAATGGATGCTTTTTTTTACGCATTTGACGTATTGTTACAAAAATTTAATGACAACCCTCTGTAAAACAACTATGTTTTAAATTATTAACTTACAGTTAATAGAACGCTGGCTTCATCTTATGTTATCATTAAATCTACCGGTCTACTAAAACTCAATACATTTAAATACATAGAAATACATAGTGATATGCCAGTTATCTAATTTACCTGAGATGACGTTTACTGCCACTAGAGTACCACATACACAGTACACAGCCCAAAATATAGAAGTCCCACAACAGGAACCCGTACGTTAAACCAAAGTTAAAGTTACTGTTGTCCACCATCGAGTACAACATCCTCACGATATTACCCAATTGAACAACCAACACCAGCAGGCTATAACACAACCTCAGAGCAAACAAACATCTACTACAATAGCTCGACTTCCCTTCAGAGTTTCTGTTTGGCGGACATAAGAAAAAATGCCAGACGTTTCCTTTCTTGTGTGTGGTCAATCCATCTTTAGCTCCTCTTTCACAGCGGACACAGTGGCTGTCTTCTGCGTCAAAGTAAACGCCAAACAGTTTTAACGCAATAATTAACGGTTTTAGAGTTTGACAAATGTCCGTGCCGTTTTCGAAACTTTCACAAGATTGGCACTGCATCGTTGTTTTTAACGCTAAAACCACGTTTAATGCCTACTAAATTTTTTATCAAAATGTCTTATTTTATTAATTTAAATATGTCCTAATAAACTGAAGTCATGAATCCATGTATCCTTCAAAACTCTAAAGTAGTTCTGTTAGTTTTAATTGAGTATATAACAGAGCTCGCCAACAAAAAATGCATTAACCATCTAACGTGAACCTGTTTTGTTTAAAATGTGTAATATTTGTTAATGGTCTTTGGGGAATAACTCAATTTGGCATTGCTCCATCAGATAATGAGATTTAGTTCTTTCAAATAGTGTGTCATAGTCATTCAAAACGCAGAATAAATAAAAGAAAAAAAGATACGTACGCGCACATACATACTGAGTTCCACCTACAATACAAACACATAGATATATTACAGACACACTTACAGACACAAACATACACATGTAGAAATAATATCACGAAATGCTAAATGAGACATACCGAAATAAAGATAGATTTGGTTGTTGCGGTTATTTGTATAGTTTGATGAAATGAAGGGGTCAATAGGTTTGCTTCAATGTATTGACGTGAATGTTAATAGTTGAATTAAAGGAGGTGTCAATATGTGTTGAATACACTGGTGTCTTGTGATTGAAGTTTTTTTTTTTCCAAATCGACGTTCCAAGTTGCAATTGAAGTACAGTCCACCTGCTTCTGTCAACAAGGCTATTGAAGGGAACGTGTGTTCAGCATTATGTCTAGCCGCCTTTCTTTCCCTAAAGTGAGTTACGTACCCATAAGCGCTGGGTGAAATCAGGAACGTTCTACTGATTTAATCCCGGATTCGAACTCGAAACTTTCTGTTTAGCGCTCTACCGCTAGGCCACACCGTTCCACGGTTAATGTGTCTAATGTTATCTAATGGTGACTTTGTTTAGCTCCATGTAACCTAGTGTAATGGGTTCAGGTCGATATAATTGAGTGGTAAATGTTTAAATCGATTAACACTTCAATGAGAGCATATGTACTACACTAGTCAACTGTATTGTTTGGAATCAGGTATCCTAGGTAAATGTTATGTGGAAAGCCTTTCATTGTTCTATACTAAGAAATAACATGACAACTTATTCAAATTCAGCAAAGTTAACTGATAAACGACCTTTCATTATATTCTAATTTATTGTTAACAAATATTTGCATTAAAATTCATTCATTATGCTTTTCATTATTTTATTTTGTATTCATTAGTTCATTATAAAAATTCTGAAAATCCATAAGTAAAGTATATATTTAAGTTGGCGTTGACGATAAAATCAATAAAACTAATTTTAGAAACACGTCTGTCTCTCGAAGCTAGTGAAAACGAAAGTAAAAGTAGGAAAAATCCGTAATGACTACATTTTTCTTGTAACTCCTTACGTGTTGGGTAAAGCTCTGATATCTTATTATTTCCCCTTTTTACATAAAATTTTATTTACATATTTCACCTGTACCCCCTTCCCATGCTAATTCGTGGCAAACTTAAACACAACAGAAACTAGGGTGATTTAAAAAGAAAAGTAAAATATCTACATCATTTGTACGGTTGTACACTAAGTACTGTATAGCCCATGTTAGTTTTAAATTTTTAGAAATCCTAGATTATTCATGCCCTTAATGATGCTCCGTTGGTCACATTCCGTAACTAACCCTATATCTATATAGCCTGTAAAACAAGAATACACGTGAACTGTTGTGTGGTAGAGCACACATTGCCAACCCGAATGTCCTGAGTTCAACTATATGTCTTAAGTGAGAGAAGCTTCACTATACTTTAACCAGTACTTAACTCACGTTGGGTAAAGAAACAATTTATGAAATTTAAGTTGATTATTTAACAAGCAAAAAAAATAATCTTACATCTTATTTTGTTTTCTACATACTTATCAATTTAGTAAATAATATTTTAAAATCCCAACATGGAGAATGATTTGCACACATGGAGAAATGTTTAGTGTACCCCCACAGTTTCAAACAAAACAATAGCACCGTTTATGTATACCGCATCTACCTCACACTCAATTCAATATTTCAAAGAACTACAGCTAACAGTTTATTTTTTAAGTTTTTAAAATGCTTCATTGCAACATAAAAGATGTATTAACATTTAAATGAGTTTTTGTTTATAATTAAACCATTAATATGACATTGGTACGAAGTCTAAATGTACACGTATTTAAATGTAATAGATTACAAACAATCTCACTGGTTTAATATTAATATGATAATAAACCGGGAGTGATCTCCCCTAAACTTTCTCGAATATTCTTATATAAAATAACAGGGGATGGGAACTCGGGCTATAGACATGATTTTTAATCCATTTTAAATACTTAAAGTTTTAAAAATAGAATAAAATCTCGTAGACAAATTAATTGCACACCAAGTGAACGCCCAATAAAAAAAGCGCATAATAGTGCGCAATATTATTAGTACTTTTAAAATTTACATTAGTTTTTTGAGAAATCGGAAGTAGCGTAAATTACTACTTCCAGTCAACGGAAATTACTCAAAATTTAACAGAAGGTAGAGAATTAGATCTTTTACTTACACGTGAAATTTCATTTATCTATCTGAAATAGTACTCAAGTTATAGGCTTTTGAAAAATTCAAAGTAGGAAAAGTACCACTTCCGGTTATCGGAAATCGCTCAAAAGTTGATACGGATCTACGATTTTGATATAATACTTATATATGAAATTTCATCAACCTAGCTGTAACGGTACTCAAGTTATCGTGTTTACACACGGACACACACACAGACACACAGACACACACACACACAGACATACGGACAAGATTGCAAAATTATGTTTTTCCGTATCAGGTGAGGTGTAAAACGTCGAGATCTGTAAAAATCTCGATTTTTTTTTTGCACGATTACAGTACTTTCTCTATACTTCGTATATACGAGAAAGTAAAAAAGGGGAATCCCCAATGGGGGATTTATGTTGGGTATTTTTTTAACACGTGGCCAGCAAACCAGAACGGGCCACGTCTAATTCGATAAATTCTCAAGGCTGCATCAAGGTGAACGTGACCTTATAAAAGCTAGCTAGGCAAAAGATAAGCAGTGTGATTCAACTGCTCGAGAATTTTTGTATTGATCTTTTCGACACCTGTGTTTTACAGTAAGTAGATTAGTTTATAGCACATATGTAATAGTTCCGATGTATAGTTCTTGTGCATTAGGTCAGCAATATATTTTAAGCTATATATTGCGATTTTAAATAAATAAATAATATTATTAATACAAGTATGTTGGTAATACGACAGAAAATGTATGTCCTAATACTTATGATTCATTAATGTTATCACGTTTTGAACATCAGACATATTAAAGCTGTGGACTGGGTGGTCGGTCAGGAGAGTGCATGTCTTCTTACTTCAAACACCAAACATTTAATGATGATGTTTAGCTGTGGAAAGCATCACATTTTGACAGAAAACTCCCCCCTCCCCCTAAAAAAAACACCTGTTGCTTTGCTTATTGCCCTTGGGTAGACAAAGGCTGTGGGAGAAGGAGAAAATCGAAAATGAAAAGCAGGATGAAATCCGGCCGTTTGGCGCATGGCATGTTGAAACTAAAATGTTGTATCTGATGAAAAAAACCTCACCATTATTGGAATTAAGCTCTAAGAAGAAGAAAGCTTATATATATATATATATATATATATATATATAATATATATATATATATATATGTATATATATATATATATATATATATATATATATATATATGTGTGTGTATGAGTATTTATGTGATTGCGTGTGTTTGTGTGTGGGGGGGTGCATGTGTTTGACCGTGTGTATGTGTGTTTGTGCGTCCTTAAACAATTTAACTGACCTTAGATATCTTTAGTTTGTTTTATTATCAACTTATGTTTGCATACCATACATTTGTAGAAACAATATATTTTCTCCTAAAGCAATTCATGAACTTTCAATCTCCCTGGCTATTATGTCTTATCGTTTATCAACCAGGTCATCAGCTCCGGTTAGACCAAAAGTTAGACCAATAAAACCAGTTAAAACAACCGAACAAGCTACGTCTACGACATCCACCCCAGCAGAACACTTAGTAGGAGAGCCAAGACATCACACACCAGCCAACAAACCAGAAATGTTTAACAAGAGAAATATTGGCCTAGGTCTTTTACTATGTCTTATTGTGGTAAGTCTTAGCCCTTGAAAAGCATAAACTCAGAACATTTAAACAAATGTTTTTCTTAACAATAGCATTGAGACGACTATTCGAATTATTAAACGTAATAATGATGAAGATGCTCTTGAGGTATTCCTATATATTATTTAGTCATTGTAATCAACAGATATTGGAGTGCTCGCACGCACAAAAGCAAGAAGACTCAGATCCCAACAATAAAGTAAGCATCTACATACTTGATTTTGTTTTCTTTCTTTCTATTGTATATGAGGCTGTGTATGTTGGTATGTGCGCTGAAAACAACACTTGACATATAAAGTTATCCTACAGTTATTGAGTTGTCGCATTTGTTAACTTTGTTGTTGATAAAGAATTTGATACTCACTAAAACTATGGTAGGAAAATGTTGAATTTCTTTTAGCCAGGGTTTCGAAATATCACTCAATGGTTATTAAAGAATAAACACGAATTTAAAAGCAGCATTTAATAGGAGTCATAAGATTGATGTATAATGTAAAAATGTGGAACCTAACTGTCGATATAACTAGCTTGACAAACATGTCAACCCCACTTTAAATTTTGTTTAAATGCAATTATATTATTTTTTCAGGCTGCAGGTTCAACTAATCGGGAAAATACGTACGTGGTTTAAATATAGTTTTTGTATCAATATATTTAGAATAAATGATAAAATTTATACTTTATGTGATCAATTACTAGAAGGCCTAGTTATCAATTGCATACCGGTCTTCTTCTGAAAAGGTTTTACAAATACTCGTCATTACTCTATTGCGCAGTTAATGCTATCCCCACACCCTAAAATAGCTAGATAATTATGCAATAAAGTAGTAGGCCTATACTGTAGGATAACTTTTGAATGACTTACAGTAAGCAAAACATAACATTTTAAATCACCTGTTAGTAAAATGACCTGAATAGAAACAAGAAATAGTGTGATCAAAATTTTTTTTACATTATTAGTTGAATTTGACTGCGAGTTGGGTTTGTAGAGTGGACAGCTGATAGACTGAAAGTCTCAAGCTCAACCAAGTCCTGCTGAGTACCTGATTTATATAAGAGAACGTAAAGTGGCTTAGAACAAAATCCTACCACATAACGAAATCACAGAAGAAAGTTAACTCTACTCTATCTGCCCGATGAGTCAAACAAAGATATTAAATGCCGCTGTAAATTATGCAAATAAATGTAATCCATGAACTGCTCTCTCTAGCGAAAATCAGTCCGAACATCGCGTAAACTGTTTAATGTTTTGTTCAATATTTACTTTTCTTAACGCTTTTCAATTAATTATAATACTTAAAGTAAAGTTACCCTTTCAAACCTGACGGTCTATGGGGCAAGTAAAGTAGAGTTCACTCGTTTCTGTTACCTCGGCATATGAAGAGATAGTGTGGTCAGCACTATGCCCAGCCGCCTTAACTCTCCCTAACGTGAGTTAGGTACACATCAGAGTTGGGTGGATTCAGGGACGGTCTACTGACTTGAATAACTCGAGACTTACGGGTTAGCAGTCCAGCTCTCTACCGCTAGACCACTCCTTCCCAATTATAATACTTACATACACTTTAATAGTTTACATTTTCTCAACTTAGAATTCAAATTTTTATTTTTTTTCATTACTAGAGAATTTGACAGGACAGTAAACTTGCGTTCTTTTTCTGTTGACCACGCCTTACTAAAGGTGGAGAAGAAACTGGGCGATGCGAGAAAATGTAAGTAAAAAGTTGACATGTACAGTGTTCTCCCATGTTAAGTATCCTGTCATTACATATGACAAGAAACATGACTAGTTCACCCACCCCATAAGCCTACAGGAAAAACGTTTTCTTGGATCACATGATATCAAATTATTTTCTTCCAATTGTTAATTACTCTGAAACAACTTGCCACAACATAAAAAAACTAAGAACCAAAAAAAAAAAAAAAAAAAAAAAACCCACACTGACAACCAGCCATTCGAAGCTACTGTTAATTAACATTGCTTCATGCCATGACCCAACAAAGTAATCTTAGCCTGCGTTCGGTAAATAAATTTCTTTTATGTTCAGGGAGTGTGGTTAGCAATAGAAAAGGTAATTGTTCTATGTTTGCACATTGCAAGAGAAAAATATAAAACGAATTATATTTATTGCAGACTTAAAACGAACAGGGGAAAGAGAAATTCAGATTAAAGTTGAAACAGGATCTGGAAAAAAAGTTTACCCTGCAGTTCGTGAATACCTGGCCAAACATCACTACAGGTAACTTCTTCATCTAAAACTTTTGAGTTTTTCAAAATGGCTGTTACCTTTTCTGTTTTTATGATATTGTTTTCAAAAGTATTCAAATTTATTTAAAAGGCTTCACATGTTAAATTGTAAAACGAAATAGAAAAATAATCTGAGAATATCTCAATAGTAGTACGATTGTTTGAAAAATACAATGATGATAAAAAATATAAATTTATCAACAACACTACTATTTATTACATTTTATATTCGGCCGCTTTACCATTGTTTTGAATGCAAAAAAAGAAATAAATAAAACATATGTAATTATTTTTTCTAATTGACAGTTCTGACTGGAATCAGAATGAAGGCTACTTCACAGTGAATGTAGTTATTAAAGAAACGGACAAAGATGAATTTTAAATTCATATCTTGAATGATGAATAAAAATAATATAAATACAGTTTTTATGCCTGCTTATACGTGGAAGTGGATAGTATGAATTAAAGTGTAATTAATCATATTCATTACGCCTTTTCAACTTATGCCTGAAAGTATACACTACATTGAAACCACATTTTACTAAATTTAAACCCATTAAAATTTGAATGAATGTTGTCAGCCTACTAATCTTGCTTTAATATTACATTTTTCATTTTATTAATTTTACAAAAATACAATTGTTTGCACTCTTTATGATGTTAGTAGTTTACTTCAAACGAAGTAAAACATTTGGTTATCTTTTTAAAAGTATTTTGTCCTGTATATTTAGTAAATTTTAGTTTCTGTATAGTTTACAATATAAATGTTCTAACCATTTTTCTATTGCATTAAATAAGCTTTTTAATAGGTGCACTGTTTAAATAAAAAAATGTCATATGCCAATATTTTTTTTTTCGTTTTATTTTGTTTTTATTTTCTATTTTCGTATGCCATATACGTAAATGAAGAACAAAATAAAGCATTACTATGCGGATATTTAGCAATATGGTGAAGACACAATTGCAGAAATGAAAAAGGATCAAATTTAAAGCTCAACGCTTTGGACACAAACCCAACTAACAGTGATATATCGTAACCCAAAAACAACTTTAAAAATTAAAACCTACAATCTTGTAGATTCTAATACTGAAATTTATCTTAAATCATTTAAAATGTTATATTTTCTTACCTTGTCAAACATTTAAAATGACATTTTAAACACAAAGTCTGGAACAATAGAAGATTGAGTTCTTACCTTAAAGTAAGTCTAACTAAAGGTCAATGGACAGGGGAGAAGTTTCATCAACTCACTGGTGTAAAACATCGTGATTTGTTAAAATTCTTGCTTGATTACAAGTGTACACCGTCGTTGTCGTAATTCACCTCCTGAACATATTTTATATTTATAAAATAATTAAGCTCTATTAGTCGGCTAACACAAATGACTAATTATGTACATTTAATAACTAATGGGCTAATTACTCGACGTGTACTGTGGTAGATAAAGTGTACATATGTACAACTTTGAATAATGAGTTATGAACCGTGTTTAGTTGAGAGAAATTAGTGTTTGAATTTTCGAAAAAAACTTTCTTTTTTAACCTCTAGGTTGGTTTTGTTTTTCAATCCTTAAAATAAATTAAACTAGTTATTGCAAAACTTCTATTTGTAGGTTTAATACATACAAAGATATGTAATCGTGTGAATCTCTGTACTATTTAATATACTTAACATTGAACAAACTAAACATTTAATTAAACTTAACATAGCCAAGAGATCTAATCAGAGATTGTAGCTTACCTATACAAAACACTGATGTCGTTATTCAGGAAGAAAAAAAAACATACATTTTTATATACATGAAATCGTTTTAATAAATGCAAGTGAAATACCAAAAAAGTTTTTTTTATTAAAAACGCTTTAACATGAGTGGATTGTGTTCTAACTATTCAGTACATAAATTAAGGTAACGAATACAAAATGAATTATCAACAAACGCCTGTATTATATATCCATCAATAACCACATGATTTATCCATCTGCTAAGGACTGAACTGTAGAAGCAACAAAAAATATGTGATGTAGGCTCCAGCAATCTGGTGAGTAGAAATGTACACATTTTTCGGAGGGTGTTTCTACTTGATGGGTATAGAGTCAAATCCTAAAACAATCATGAAGTGTTTTAAACTAGCTATCCAACTTGTATAGTGTAAAATTAAATTTTGGTAGTAATAAAAAGATTTTCAAATCACAACTTAAGTTGATTTACCTAACGTCATTAAAAAATGGCAGTTAAGAGACGTCATAGTCATGATAATTTGGCATTACATTGACGTCTTACACACTGTATTAAACATTTGCAGTCAATCGACCTTTGACCTACCGTCAACAAAGCCTGTTTGGTCACCACAAACATCCCCAGCACTGAGGCCCCTATGGTCGTGTCAGTGAGACGAGACAAAAACAGCTGGAGCTGGGGATGGGATGGTGTTTTAGGTGGAGGCTGACACGCGCGATATAAACACACTACAAGTATAGAAAGACTCACTGCTAATTACTATAGGGCTTTAGTTCATAAGTCCAGATAACTAGAATAATGTGTTATGTAACATATATATTTCATGATAGCAGTTCCCTGTTAACTATCTAGCATTGTATCAGAAGACTTTAATTAAACGCTAAGTAAGTCAGCATTATGATTTAGTTAGAATGCGTAGCTAAACATGCCTAGCTATCCAAGTTTAACAAATTAAAAAACTTTTTTTCTAAACAATAATAAAATACAGTGTTTTGCTTAAAGTGAGATAAATGTAACGTTATACCTGTATAACTTGAGATGGCGACGAGTTTTCTGTCTCTCTGAGATCATACAGTTTGTCTAGTGGAGAGTGGGCCTACAACATATTTGATTGATTTAAAACATTCTACAATAAACTTAATATAAAGCAAATACTTTACTAGTCACTGAACACATTACAAATGTTAAAGTAAGAACAATAATGTCAAAAACAGTGTGTTCTACAGGTCAAAAAACTTATGTTTAGCATTGTCTGAAGTGATTTTATTTTACGTATAACTCTTACGTATATTACGTATAATATATGAATATTTATATATATATATATATATATATATATATATACATATATATATATATATATATATATATATATATATATATATCAAATTAATTTGGACGTCAATTTAAAAAAAGAATTAAACTTACCATTTCATGTACAGATGATAGACTTAATGACAAGACACCACAAATGGCTAGGTTGACTAAAAGCCAAATCACATTCAAGATTGTAATGAGCGACCAGTTCGGGTGTACTATCACAGTATACAGGGTCAGGCAACTATCAGCGATGGTCGACAGATAGACTAAAGGGAGGTAATGATTGAGGAACTTGTTGTAGCTATAGAAGACATCACACAACTTCGAGTGGAAAATCCGAATTGTTTTTAAATGATTCGGAATTACTCCGTTAGCTTTGGTTACCTGTGGAATGAAAAAAAAAATGTTTCATCTGAAAAAAAAACAACGACGTAGGTCGTTAAATAAAACAATGTGATATTCAGAAGAGTGAACGAACGTGACAACCATTAAGTGAAACTTTGAATAATGATTAACTGTAATATATTTACTTCTGCTTCTAGGACGTCCGTCAGCTGTTTGAACTGTGCACAGAACAATTTGTTTACAAACAAAACAAAGACTAGCATGAAATTGGTGCTCGCAGAGTTCCATCCATTGACCAGTATAGCGATGAATAGGGTCCAGGGTGTACAGCTAAATGGGGCAATTGTGGTTTGCTGAAACAGAGGAAATGTTATGCTGTTGTTTTTAATATTTTGTACTCTTGTTTTGCACTAATGAGAACGAAATAAATGTAATCCCCTTAAAATTTCCTGTTACGTACAACTGACTTATGCAAACCACAATATATATATATATATATATATATATATATATATATATATATATATATATATATATATATATATATATATATATATATATATATATATATATATATACATATATATATATATATATATATATATATATATATATATATATATATATATATATATATATATATATATATATATATATACAGAGATTAAGAGAGAGAGACATAACATTGACACTTACCACCATAGTGGGCTCTTGAAGAATTAATATCGTTGCGAAAGCAACGAAATTGAAGAGCACATTGAAACAACCGACAAACATGATCCTGTTCCTCCATCGGCGACACGTGATAGGCTTTAAACCCAGCTCCTCTGTCGCTTTCTCTTGAGATAACTGCCGCCATTTTGTGTAGAACGTTCTGTAACATAGGTAGTGCATGGCATTGTTACATGAACACATCATGCTATTTTACCATTGTTTCAAGAAAACATCACAGAGACTGTTACAAGGATATATTGAGCATGTCTACAAGAACATATTGGTCATTGGTATAATTTTTATTATGTGTTCTTAATTTATAATCAATTACAATTATAACCAGAACACATTGGGCATTGTTATGATAAAACATTATAAAGATTTATCGTTATAAAGATTTTCTTGGGTGGGATGTAGGTGTAGCTAGAGCTATGGTGGGGATTGGCTGAATGCGATGAGACTGCGCAATGTAACATTAGTTAAGAGTGACTAGTTGGGGTAGGGAGACTTTTTGACATTGTAGAGTGGTTCACACTTTGTTTACACACACACACACACACACACACACACACACATATATATATATATATATATATATATATATTTATATATATATATATATATATATATATATATATATATATATATATATATATATATGCTACATATTCTATAGCGGTTGAAATAACATAACATTGTGGTTTTAAATATCCGAGCACTGAAAGCGGCACGATGGTGCTGTCTCCTACAGCTATAACCTAATTCCCCCTCCTTCCCCCTCTAGTTTATGTCATTAGAGTGCTTTCTTTTATATAAGTATACATTTAAGTACTATTACATATAAAGTGGCTTAATTGAGTTACCTGAGATGTCGTTTATTGGCACTAGAGTACCACATACAAAGTACACAAGCGACCACATAGAAGTTCCATACAAGAAACGAATACGTTGTACTAAAATCAAATTTTGTGTTGGTCACCATCGAGTACAACATCCTCACGATATTACCCACTAGAACCAGCAACACCAGCAGGCTATAACACAACCTCAGAGCAAACAAATATCTACTACAACAGCTCGCCTTCCCTTCAGAGTTTCTGTTCGGTGGACAAAAGAAAAAATGCCAGACGTTTCCTTTCTTGTGTGTGGTCAATCCATCTTTAGCTCCTCTTTCACAGCGGACACAATGGCTGTCTTCTGCGTCAAAGTAAACGCCACACAGTTTTAACGCAACAATTAACGGTTTTAGAGTTTGACAAATGTCTGTGCCGTTTTTTAAACACTGAGAGTAGTTTAAATTTCCACAAGCTTGGCACTGCATCCTTGGTGGATGGTAAACTTGGTTTGGAGATTTGATACAGGTTTTTACACTTTAGATAATTATTTGCTGTACCGAAATGTTGATTTAAAACGATGACGATGTAATTTATTCCATCATATTATCCAAATCTGGACTTAGTTTATTAATATCTGTTCGTAAATATTAAAGTCATTAATCCGGGTATGCTTAAAATGTGTGATCTGTTAGTTTTAATTTGATATTATAACAGAACTCGTCAATACGCTAATGCTCCAACCATTAAAATTTGACGCGTGCATCTTTTTAAAAATATTTGCTATTTGTTAGTGGTCTTCGGGGAATGATTCGATACGGCATCGACCCAGCAATTCATACATGTTAGTTCCTTCAAATATAGATTCTCTTGCGTTACAAGGTCA